TTATTATTAGGATCCCAAAAATGGGTTATCATATGTTGGAATCTATTTAATGAATTCAATGCCTTCTTATTGGTAAGGTATGATTCGGGAGAAGGACTAGTGTGGAATCAGAGCTTCTGTTCCCTTCGAGAAGTTCGAATCTGGAATCCTGGGGCGTGGCGACTGCTTTGCAGTCTGGAAAACATCGGCAAGTGTTGAATTCCATTGAAATATCTTTTGCAGCCCTGGAGTTGGTGGGCTTGGCTCAAACAAATCCGCCTCTAACAAAGAAGGTGGAGAGACTGATGGCCCAGGAAGTTTTGAGACTGGTCATGGGCAAGGCAATCTTTCCTTCAATGCGATAGTCTTGCCAGACTGTAATGCGGTAAGGTATGTTTTAAAAGGAAGGTGATTTCAAAAGATGACGACGACGCAGTCTTTGTGGGGGGAAAGAGGGCCAAAAGGTTGCAATCGATTTTTGCATCCACCCCGACGTTGCTTTAAAAAAAGGTGCTGCTTATATTTTTCCGGAAAAGGTGGGCCTGACACAGCCTTTAAAAAAATTCTTCAAAAGCAGAAAAATCCAAAACATTCTGATGACCTGAACCGCGCAATGCGTACGGGAGGACAAAAACTGTGTGCAAATGAAATGCAAAATTTTGCTTTAAATAATAACAAGGAGATTCCCACAAAAAAGCGTGACAATTTCCATGATTTTACTTTTTGCAGTAAGGAATACGATTTTAGAACCCCATCATGCGTACACTTTGAGGTTCTATTCTGCCCTCCGTCGAGGGATGTCAAAAGCCTTGGGTTTTTAGAAAGGAGACCATTGTAGAACCCAGATTTGGGGTTCTAATTTGAAGGACAAGGGGGTTCATTTGATCTTGAGGGTATTATATATACATATTCGTATATATATATATATACATATATTTCTATATCTGTACATATATATATATATATCAATATTCATATATATATATATCAATATTCATATATATATATATGTATATCTGTACATATATATATATTATATCTATCTACATATTCATATTGTTTATATACACACAATATATCTATGTATATACATGTAAATAGATACATGCAAGAACATATATACATTGGCAGTAAACAAATACATCAATGCATATCAATATACATTTACAGATAGAGGGAGAAAGAGTGATGAATACATATGGTGTTTTCCATAAATGGGAGATCCCCCGTTTTAGGAAACCTCCAGATGCTGCAACTTTAAGGTCGCGGCTCCGTCTGCTCCATCCTGTGAGTGCGGGGCTTCCGCGAGTCGACGTGTCTTTTTGGGACGCTGTTAGCACCCTGGGTGGAGCAGTTTCCAAGGTTGAATCAGTTGCAAAAGATGCCTCGGAAATTATAAGAACTTGGAAGACATACCAGTAATACTGTCACATACCCCCTGGTAAACTAACATAGCCATGGAAAATCACCAATTTTAATAGGTATATCAAGTATAAATCACCGTTTTTCAATAGCTATGTTACCTTACTAGAGGGTACCCATTTTGATATGTATCTTTAGTTACTTTAGTTCTTTGGGTGACTAAAAATACTAAAATTGGCCATGTTTGTTGTTGAAATTCAAGTGCTGATGATGTTCCACCTGGCCCTGGCTCAGACTTTCATGTAGAGATCGAGAGGTGTAAGATTTGCCTCTTTCTCTCTCTCTATATATATATATACACATACATATATTTTATTTATATATATTTAAAAAATATATTATATAAAGTGTGGTAATTAAACCCAACATGACTGGTTTGTAAAAACCATCGCCAACTGGTAGGTTAATGATTGGTTTATCATTTGATGTATAGTAGTCCCAAACAGGATAAAAGAGGTCATGTCCTACTTGAAGAGTGAAAATCTAGTGTCTATTTGCGTTGCGGTTTCTATTTAATACTGTAGATTATTTAAATAATTATCTAATTTTAATTTGATATATATATATATCATTATATAAATGTATTATATATATACATATATAAATATATTGTTTTTTATATACAATATTATATATATATGTCATAATATTTCTATATATTTATATACACAATATTTGTACATATCCCGATATATATATATATATAACTATATCATGATATATATATATATGTATGTATCAGTAAATATACATATATAAATATATATATATATCAATATATATAAATATATATATATATATCAATATATATAAATAAATAATATATATATTTACAAATATATATATATATAATTTTATATATTGATATATGTATATATATATAGCAATATATATATATATAACAATATTATATAACCTGTAATATCTTATATATTTAATATACACATAGTTCTGCTTTATGAAAGTGCCCACTTTGCTCACCAGATTCTTGTGACAGGAGCTAGGGCCGCGAGGGCAATGGAGGACACTTGATGGAACATACATTAAACTAACAAAAACCATCATTAACCATTAACCATTATTAACCACTATTATTATTAACATTAACATTCAAAAACTCCTGATTTCATCAGGGTGCCAGGACCGCCATTCTTTCGATCCTCCAAGTCCCAGCGGCGACGCAGTCCCGCAGATCTCACGAGTCGATGCTGACAGTTTCAAACAGCACCGTCTGGACCCTGTGAGTCACCGATTTGTTTGTTGATAAGAACATATACAAAAACTGGTGCTAAACGCAGGGGATGGATGGGACTGGGGGTTGCTGGGATGATAAACATTATAGTTAGCCAGTGGATCATTCCCGAAAATTCCCTACGAAGCACCAGTAAGTATTAGAACCCAAAGAACTCCGTTACTCCCGTCCGTTGTCCACAACAATGTCCAGAAGTGCAGTTTTCTCATGAAGATGGCAAGAAAAATGGATGTAACCCACCCATTTTTCAACATACCCATATCGTCATATGGCAAAACAGAAGCTCGACTGGAGCCGTGCAACGAGAAAATCGGGGCTACATGCAGTGGGGATGGCAACCCCGGACGGTCGGATGTGGCTTGGAACAGCAACATATGGATCCAAATCAACAACACTGGAGCCGTACAAAAAGTTGTTGATGATTTGGAGGATTTGGATCAAACGTGGAGAAACAATAAATTTTAATAAATGTGGATCAAATGTTGTTTCTCCACACGAGGATTCATTGCGTTTCGAGTTTGATAGGCCCAACGTTGGTCCTCTGAAAAAAACCGTTCATGTCAAATATTGAACATAGCCACCATTTGTAGATGATGTGGTTATATCCTAACATAATCTAACACACATATCGGTTGTGATGATGTTTAAAAGTTACACTTCAGGACATTAATATAGACCCTGCCAGATAGGGGTTGGAAGATTAGTTTCCACTAAAGATGGGTTATTTTCTGGGTCCAACTGTTGCAATTTACCAGAGGCTATATCGGCTATATCACCATCACCATTAATTATCATTCACCACTATTAACTTCACTAGTCATTAAAATTCACCATTATAGACTTTCACAGTAATTTACCAGATGGTATTACCACCTCCAACTGTTAATTCACCAGAGGCTACATCACCATTCATCACCATTGATCATTATAATTAACCTCATTAATTATCATTCACCACCATTAACCATTGTTAATATGGTTTGTTAATCTATCATAGACCATTCACCCTTCATCAACCATCATTTAATTAACCATGAACCATTATTAGTCCCATTACTAATACCATGATTAATCCCATGATTACTACCATTATAATCCCATTAACCATTAACCATTAATTTACCATTAATTATGGGTTACCATTAATTTATAACCATTTATTCATAGACCATTAACCATCATTAACCATCATTTAATTAACCATTAACCATTATGAATCAACATGAATTACCATTAATTTAAGGGTTAACCATTTTTTTGCCATTAACCATCACTAACCATCAACATTACCAGAGGCTAAGAGCCACATTTTCTAAGCCAAGCGATGCTGCCGTCGTCGTGTCCGATGACCTCAGCTGATGGAAAAGGGCTGCGGAGACGCTTGGTCGTGGCAGGGGATTGGTTTTGGTGCTGGCTTTTGCCAACCAAAACGGGGAAAAAACATGGACAAACCATGGAAAAACCATGGAAAAACTATGGAAAAAACATGGAAAACCATGGAAAAACTATGGAAAAACTATGGAAAAAACCATGGAAAACCAACTAATTTGCCAAAGAAAAGAAGAAACTATGTTGAAATACTTGGCTATAGTTGTTTGGCTAATTAGTCGGTTTTCCATGTTGAAATCAAGAAATATTAGACATCAAAGAACTATGTTGAAATTAAATATGAAGAAACAAGAGACTGGGAGAAACTCATCAAATGTGAAGCCATGGATGGGGCTATGGCAGGCGGTTTCAAGTCTGCACCTCTGTTAGACGGTACACGTCCCAGAAATGTTGCCAGAATGGGTAGAAATGGGGTTTGCTTCGGAATTTATCCCATATGATTGTATGGGTGTATGTGTATATATATATTTTCACATGCATATATGATCATACATGTATAATTCTTATTTACACATGTATATATATATATATGTATATGTATGTATATATATATAATTATAATTATATATACAGTATATATATATATACATAAATTATAAAATCACCCAAAAACAAGGATGCTGGCTAATATTGCCAGTATAAATAGCCGAGTATTGGTAGCCTTTGAGCAGCAAACCACTATGCGCCACGGACCACACCATTCCCTGCTGGTTCAAACTGAAAGTGGAGATACCACTGCCCACATGACGATGATTCACTGAATCGATATATAGTGTACCCAGCAAAACATCCGAGTTCACACTTAAGCCAAGTGATTCTACCAACATTCAGCCAACATCAAGTGCCGATTAACCAAGTGCCCATTCAACCAACATCAAGTCCTTAGATTCCTTAGATCACCAGCTGTCGCTTCATCGAAAGCCAACCCTTGAGCCGCTACTTCCGCGGGAATGGCGGCATGCCGTGGTTCCAACAGCCACAGCTGAAACTTGTCCCGTCTTCAGCAAGATCAAATTCTAGTAGTTGGTAGTTGGTAGTAGGGACATCTATTATCTACTATAAAAAAAATAATCAATGAAACTTGGCTTTGGACTTGGGACCTGAACATGTTTGGGGGACAAATTCTCATAGTTTTAATGATAATCTTTCGCTTGAAAATTGCCAGAATTTGGCGGAAAGAACATGGTACAGTTATGGCCATTTATCAGTTATAAGTACTAAGAAAACCCCATTTATAGAATGTATAATCCCACTTATAACCAGTTATAACTGGTAGCCATGGCCATAACATGGTGAATCCTCCATGACAGCCGTGGGAACTGAGGATCTTTTCTCGGATCGTTGGGCTCAGCACCACCCTGTGGTTCTGCTGCAAGGTAGTCGCGCCGCTGTGGGTTGGTATATGGGAAGCTGGGGCTTCATGTTGTTTATGAAGTGGGATAGAAGGTTGGTATATTGAACTGGGTATATTAAGTTTATCTTGTTGATATTGCTTCTTTTTGTTTTTGTGGGGCAGTGTCGAGAAGATAAACCTAAAACAAAACAATACTGTGTATACAGTACATACGTATATAATTGTGTATATATATATTATATACACGTGTAAATAGAAACAAATTGATGAGTCGCCAACAAAAAATGCATTCCATTGGCATTCGGATGATGTCGAAGCCGCGGCCATTGTTACAGATACTTTGAACTTAGCTGTTTGAACTTTGCCTTCCCAAAACAATGCTGTGACTCGAAGTCCGGTGTTTATATCAGATGTAGGGCACTTTAAATGTATTTCCAAAGACTGATACCCTCTGGTAATTCAATGTGGCTGAGAAATCCCCAAACTAAATGGGCATTTCGAAGATCTAAATGAGCCATGTTTTAGCCACGTTCGGTTACCAGAGGGTAAGATTACCATCATACCTGGGATCTCAACAACAATTACAGCAAGTTGCACGAACGATGGATACCCCCTTTAAACGTTTACATATACGTTGAGAAATAAAAGCCAAAAACATGTGTAGATCATCTTCCTGGGGAAATTTGTTGAGTTTTCCATGGGGTTTTCCACATCGTTGCTTTAGTACTGGTACTTCAACATGGGACAAGTCCTATCAGCAAATCAGGGGGACACGGTGGGACCGTTCCCTCGATCACAAAGGTGAGGCAGCTGTTATAATTTCCCTGATAAGTCAATGTATTGCCTTAGTGTTTGTCAGACCTTGTCAAACCTTAACTACATAATTAATATTTACTATCCGCATTTCAACGATTTGCTATATTCAACACATTTATTACATTCTATCATGTTCTATCCATTTACAACCGATATTTTTGTCAATAATTTATAATCCCTTCCAATATCAAATATGACAGCATCAAATATAACAATTGGATATATCAATATCTTTATGTGTCCAATATCAAATACCCCAGATATTACCCGCATCCCGAGTACGGTCACCACCAAGAAGATGCCCAAAAGGGAGCAACATCACCATTTGTTTCAAGATGTCAATGTTCTTTCTATCTTTTAGGCTGTGTTTTTGTGGTGTTCATTTTTTGTTATGTATCCATGTGTATATATATATATGATGGATAAAATCAGATATACCCTCTGGTTATTTAACGTAGCGAACTGGAGAATCACCATGTTTAATAGGGAAATCATCAAAAACATCTATAAATGGGCCATGCTCCATGGCTATGTGAAATAATCAGAGGGTATATATATATATATATATATACAGTATATATATTGGATAAATCAGTCCCATTTCACTTTTTTTTAACAAGGGATCCAGTCCCAGCAGGTTGGAAGCTGGGCGAAAAATCTGAGCCGTTTGGGCAGCCTGATTTTTCGGCTGCTGCGGCCAGGGCGGTTGCGACTTGGCGAAAACAGGTGGTTAGGGCTGGTGTTTGTTGAAGTCTTCATGCATGTAATTATGCATTAATATACTGCATAATGTTATATTAGAATATATTATATAATATATATATAATATGTACATGTTTTTTAATTTACATATATATCGTTACATATGTATGTCTAGACGATATATAATCTTTAATATACATTGCTACTATTGTCATGTGTTTGTTTTCATTCCCATGATGACCCAAGTTCCCGATGGCCCCAAACGGCTGTTTTTTTTGTTGGGAGGCTACCATAAAAAGGTGTCAGATGAAATGACTGGAGGAGTACCCCCCCCAAAAAAAATAAACCCTGGTTTATTAATCCGGGGTTGACAAGATATATAAAGTTGATATGGTTCACTATGGTTCACTTATCATATAACAATACATGTGGTTCTGGCCGTTTTGGCCGGTAGTATTCTTATGTATTGTTGTATGTTTTAAAACTATCTCGCCGTATGGATCAACACTTTCGTCCAAGCCCAGACCTCAAGTAATATACAGATATGAAGGTTTCAAACTGGTCAACAATCCACATCCTAGGCAACATTCAACATTCATGAAATGGATTGCTTAAAGGGAACATCTACAGGACACCATTATTTTTTTACTAGCATAGGGAGTTCCTGTAGATTTCCCCTTAAATCAATCGGCTTTGCTCATCGTTCAGTGGATGATCTAGAGTGAGGTTTCAGTGAAAGGCCAAATTAAATCCATAAATTCCCCAGACTTCGTGCAGATCTTGGTGGAAATACCATGGACTAACCACTGGTTTTTCGAAATACTCTGAAAAGAGTATGGACTATCCCCCAATACCACTTCAGATAGTATGATGTTTTTGTGTAAACGCTAACCATGAACTTCGCGAAGTTTGCGCCGCACTTCGCCGAAAAAAAAGGTGGCGCTACCCGGATTATGGACACCTGATTCTCGGCCGTTGATCCCCATCAGGCCTTGGAGAGAATGTTGAGCAAATATATATATATATATTATGTCTATATATACATATATATATATATACAATATATATAATATAATTATATATATATATATACAATATATATATATATATAGATAGATAGATAGATATATAGATAGATATGGCCCATTGAAATAGTTGAACTACCTATTAAACATGGTGATTTTCCATAGCTATGTTAGTTCAGCCGAGGGTATTAATCCTTGAAGATGGTCCAAATGAAGCTGAGAAAAGCACATGATTCTTTAATTCATCCATGTTTAATTAATCATTTACGGTATGAAACTCTCGCGTTTTCGGATGTTGAATTCGTTGATGAAGTATGGTAAACCATTGCACCATCTATACCAAGCATTTCCCAACTGTGTTTCAACCATTTAAGCATCAGCCCAGTGGTTGATTTCACACCAGTTGTGACACACTTATTATGAACATGGATGTGTTGACCCGGCGATGATTACAGTAGATGCAGTTTCTCCTCATTATTCCCATCATGGAGAGCCATGACATCGGAAGATGTTCCAAAGTTATCCTGTTCTAGCTTGGACATTGCTTTGAACCAGGCCTGTAGGAAACCATAGCTTTGAGAAGAGGGAAAAACAAAGTCTTCAGAGTCGTATGGGTGTCACTGGCGAGTGGGGTCGATGCCCGATTCTGAGGCATCGTTGGAGGGGTTTTATGTGCGTATGATTCAGTATGATGTATGAGTATGGGCACCATCAAACCTCCAAATCTCCATCAAACCTCCAAAAATTGATGCGCCATCAAAGCTCCAAATGTTTATCGACCCATCCTGGGGGACCATCATCCCCTGATGTCATATGGAATGGCAAAACGCTAACCTGACCCATCCCCAAATATATCTTATATATATTACAAACCAAGAGACTTAGTTATATAGACACTGACTATAGTTACATCATATTTTAGTAGCATGTATAAATGTATATATTTATATATCAACATCCATATAATTTAGTGATTAATTAAAAACCATGTTATATAGTTATTAACCATAGTTAAAGAGACTATATGTATTATATATATATATTCTTCCCCATCTTCTTTGTGAAATCTGCATGTCCTCCAATGCTCTTTGTACAACCTGTACGATCTCCTTGAGGCTTATGGTGCCGCTGTATCCAGGAGAGTGAAACGCGGGAAACGCATCCAAGTGTTTGGAGGTTTTCTAAAACTGGGGTACCCCAATAGCCGGATGGTTTATAATTCCATAATCCTATTTAAATGGATGATGACTGGGGGTACCCCCATGACTTAGGAAACCTCCATTTATAGAAGTTCCGATTTTTATGATTAGTTTATGATTGTACATACTTCTTAATAATCATGGATGATATAAGTTGTTCACCAATAATGGTTTTAACAGGGATATACAGTAATTGGAATATCATGAGAATATCATGGGAATATCACTAGATCTAACCAGCACATATGGGAATATCACTGTGATACATAGTGGAATATGATCTATACAATATGGGCGACCCAACAAATAAACCTACCATTTGCGGATTATACTAAGCATGTGTGGTCATTTTGGGGGTAGCTAATTCTTATTGTGTTTCCCCTGTTTGTGGGGGGGACCTCTGGGTGAACCTCCAACTTTGGTTGGAATCCCCACCCATTCGGAATGGTCATTTGGGTCAAATCCAAAAACCCTCCATCAATGGCCAGGAGTTGGGGCAAAGTCTTTTCAGACAGACCTAAACAAGATGCAAATCATTTGTTGGTTGTGTAAATATATCTGGCTGGTGGTTTCAAACATATTTTTTCCACATATTGGGAATGATCATCCCAAACTGACGAACTCCATCATTTTTCAGAGGGGTAGGTATACCACCAACCAGCCATTATATACCATGGTAAACTAACATAACTATGGAAAATCACCATTTTCAATGGGTAAATCCACTATTTCCATGGTAAACCCACATATTTATATTTAGAGTTATCCCATCGTATCCGGCAGACATGGCTGCTAGAAATCTCCCATTTTCCATGAGTTTCCCATGAGTTCGCCTCTATTTCTGCTGGGATGTTCCGCCATGTTTGATTGCGATTATAGTTTCCAGGTTTCTAGTTTTTCCAGCGATTTATCGGGGTTCTTATATACACCATTAAAATGATTATATACATATATATAGATATAGATAGATAGATAGATAGATTAGATAGATAGATAGATAGATAGATAGATAGATAGATAGATTAGATAGATTAGATAGATTAGATAGATTAGATAGATTAGATAGATTAGATAGATTAGATAGATTAGATAGATTAGATAGATTAGATAGATTAGATAGATTAGATAGATTAGATAGATTAGATAGATAGGCTAGATAGATTAGATAGATTAGATAGATTAGATAGATTAGATAGATTAGATAGATTAGATAGATTAGATAGATTAGATAGATTAGAGTTTAGATATTAGATAGATTAGATAGATTAGATAGATTAGATAGATAGATTAGATAGATTAGATAGATTAGATAGATTAGATAGATTAGATAGATTAGATAGATTAGATAGATTAGATAGATTAGATAGATTACATAGATTAGATAGATTAGATAGATTAGATAGATTAGATAGATTAGATAGATTAGATTAGATAGATTAGATAGATTAGATAGATTAGATAGATTAGATAGATTAGATAGATTAGATAGATTAGATTAGATAGATTAGATAGATTAGATAGATTAGATAGATTAGATAGATTAGATAGATTAGATAGATTAGATAGATAGATAGATAGATAGATAGATAGAAGGATATTTTGTTGGTGCACATGTGCTAAGTTAAGGGTAATCGGTGATATTTATAGCGGATCATTGGGCAACGGAGTATCCATTCAATGATCAACTCAGTTGGTAAATGAGGCACTTGGGTAGAATAACTATTCTGGAAAGCTACCCAATTGACCATGGTGATCTATTCTTAGTGTTTATGACAACCATAACTGGCAGGTAAATTGGATATACCAGATAATTTTAATCTCAATTGCGACACATATCTCCATGGAATGGGTGATTTGGATCCATGGAACAAGTTTAAGTCCCGTTAGCCATGACATATCCGCATGAAATCCCGTGAAATCATACTGTAATGTTTAGGTAAAACCAGTGACTTCCCAATCTTGCCCAATCCATCTATGAACCATATATACCAACATATATATATATATAACCACTGATATCCAAATTGTCTTACCTTATGTATGTATATATATATATATACATATATATAATAATGTATATATATATATATGTATATATATATACATTATTATATATATATACATTTATATTATCCAGTGAAATACTGGACCAAATTCCTGTACCAGTGATGATTCCCAAATGACCATCGATTCCCGGCTGGCAGGAAACCCACCCAGCCTGGAGGCCACAAAAGACGCCCAAAAACTCCTGGATGAAGCGAAGAACGACTCCTTGGAGGCTCCGAGAAACAATAAGGGCCTTAAAAGGGGCTTTAAGGGCGGAGTCCTGGAAACATCTGGAGGAGTTTTTGTTTTTTAAGGTTGATTTTTGTTTGGAAGTCCTCTTGAGACAAGTGTTGGTGTTTACTTTACGAAGAAAAGATGATGATGTCACCAAGAGAGTCCAAGACACATGTACATTGTTTACCCAGAAAAAAATGTGGATGTTGCCAACCAATATGTAGTTTTCAACCAAGAGAAATAGTGGGTAAAGTCCATGAAAGTTGGGTGTGTGGCATGGTTTGACCATCAGACATGGCGGTAAAACAATGTATCAAGGGACATGGGATACAACTTGCGCAAAAACCATGGATTTAAGTAATTTAAGAGTCAAATAAATAGGGGGTCTAGAACCAACCATAGTCGAGGATATCATGGGAATGTGACGAAATGACCAGCTCTGGGATATCTCAAAATGATCAAAGGGCCCAGGTAGATGGAGCGTTGGGAGATTGACCCAACCAACATTGGCTTTGCCACATTAGCTTCCGAAGTTGGGGAGAGACAAGAGGGGAACTAACCATTTTTTTGTTTGGTCTGAAAATGGAGGATATCCCCCATTTGGACATATAATGGTATTAAATTGGTTGTTACCATAGGACCATATGGAGGAAACCATCCAATGGATATCTACAGATCCAGACGGGTCAGTAGCGTTCGGAAGCGTTCGGTAGATAGGCAGACGGGCGAGGCAGATAGATGGACATAGAGCGATGGATCAGATAGATAAGACAGGATAGAATGAGAACAACTAAGAAAAGATAGTAATGATATGGACCTGTATAGAATAGATTATATTTGATGCTTGATAGGATTAGATCAGCCTTGATAAGATAGATCAAACTTGATAAGATTCTATTCGACTTGATGAGGTTGCATAGAAGGGTAGATAGATAGGAAGATAGATAGCTTATAATGGAATAGATTAGATTAGATTAAATTAGATGGATGGATAGATCATATATCATCATAGATCAATAGCTGAATCGAGAACCATCCCCCGTCCTTGCAATCATTGTCAGGTGGAGCAATCCATGACCCTTCTTGGAGAGGCCATTCTGTGCCTTGGCAGAAACTTTTTTCCAAATCCCAAGCTTGAAAAACACCACGACACAACTATGAAAGAATCAACCAAACCTCTGAATATGTACACACAGTTACACACCACTAAAAAAAAACATAAAAGATCATTCATACTTGTGAAGATTTACACAGATTTACATGCCATGTCCCATCCATTTCCCATTTTTCATAAGAAAACGGCGCCCATTTTTCGGCGCACAACGGCGAGGCTAAACCCTCCAGGGGTCGAGGTGTACCTTCTCCGGGCCCAGAAGTTCAATAGCCACCTGGCCTGGCGACGAGAATCGGTGGGCCACCCGGTAGGCCATGATGAACCATGGAACTTGATGGGATTTAACGGGATTTAATGGGGCAAATCAGACAATATATGGGATTTAATAGGATTTAATGGGATTTAACGGGATTTAATGGGGCAAATCAGACAATCTATGGGATTTAATAGGATTTAATGGGATTTAACGGGATTTAATGGGGCAAATCAGACAATCTATGGGATTTAACGGGATTTAACGGGATTTAATGGGGCAAATCAGACAATATATGGGATTTAATAGGACCTAATAGGATTTAACGGGATTTAATGGGGCAAATCAGACAATATATGGGATTTAACGGGATTTAACTGGATTTAATGTGGCAAATCAGACAATATATCTTGGATTTCATAGGATTGAATGGGATTTAACGGGATTTAAGGGGGCAAATCAGACAATATATTGGATTTAACGGGATTTAACGGGATTTAATGGGGCAAATCAGACAATCTATGGGATTTAATAGGATTTAACGGGATTTAATGGGGCAAATCAGACAATCTATGGGATTTAATCGAAGGAAGTTTAGAAGTCAAACTTCCGACAATATGGACAGATGAAAAGCAGAGTAGGGCAGAGGCAGAGAGAAGAGAAAGATTAGAAGAGAGAAGATAAGAAGAGAAAGAGTAAGAGGACAGACGCTACAGATGCGCGAAAAGGTAGGAAAGTCGCGAAACACTGTGTTTTTCCAATGATTTGTGGCTCAGGAGGGTCGAAAAGTAGGCTCGCTAAAGCGGCGGGTGCGGAGCCAGCTGGCCACAGGAGCGATGAAAAAGTGCACGCCGTTGTGGCGCGAAGTACATTTCCAAATCAAAATGTACAAAACACCTCAGCGTCGGACCACTTTTGGAAGTTGAGATGTCAAAAAAGTGCACGCCGTTGTGGCGCGAAGCACATTTCGAAGTGAACATGTAGAAAACACCTCAGTGTCGGACGACTTTTGGAAGTTGCGATGTCGAAAAAGTGCACGCCGTTGTGGCGCGAAGCACATTTCCAAGTCAAAAGTGTAAAAAACTGACGGTCTCGGACCACTTTTGGAGGTTCCGATGTGGAAAAAGTGTCGAAAAAGTGCACGCCGTTGTGGCGCGAAGCACATTTCGAAGTCAAAAGTGTAAAAAACTGAGGGTTTTGAGCCTTTTTTGACGTGAAGATGTCGAAAAAGTAGACACTGATTAACTTAACTAACTTGACTAACTTAACTAACTTCACTAAC